TGCTAAGAAACTATTTTTCTTACTTATATTTGGCATCATGAAATCACAACTGTTTATCATTCAACTTTAATAACAATGAAATAACATGACTGAAGAAAAATTAATTTAAATACATACTGAAAACAGTCCCACATCCAATCTATTTGCTTAAAATAAAGATCATGTCTCTTTCCTTTTTTTTTAAGCATTACCCCCAAGCAAGGTGGGAATGCCAATAGTATGCAAGGGGCTACAGAGTGAAAGTAACAGAAAAGATTGTGTATAGGGGGGATTGAGGAAAGGAAGAAAAGAAAGATAAAAAAAAATAAACAGAGAAGGATAAAAAGAAGAACAGGGATCAATATGACAGAAGATGTTGATTGACATTACATTTAAATTTTTGAAGATTATAATTATCAGGGGAGCAAGTAAGAGGAAGGGAGTTCCACAGTTGGGAAGTGCAAGAGAACAAGTTGTTAGATTAGAAGAAGTGGTTACATTTAACTGTTTTGGGAGTAAAAGGGTAAGACTGAAATGCCAATCTAGTAATACACTTAAATTTATGCAGTTGGGGCACCAGTGAAATAGCTTGTCAGAACTGTTGCCATGTAAATATTTATAGAAAAGACAGAGGGAAACCACATTATGTCAACAAGAAAATGACTGGAGTTGAGACCCAAGTCAGGACCAATCACATTGCGTACCCATCTTTGGATTTTGTCAAGAACCTAGAGATGAACAGCAGGGGGCACCTGACCATATGAACAGTATTTCATGCATGGATGACAAGTAGATGTAAAGGATGGACACAGAGAAGAAAAATATTCTGGTGCAACACAAAGGACCAACTTTCCTTGCAGAATTTTATATATTCATGCCTCTTATGAGAAATGTGTCCTCTGGTTTAAAAGAAATAATTTATAAGTCACTTACTAGAAATAGCACTCAATTTTAGTGGCAATTCAATTCAAAATAATGTATATATTTATAAAATAGTCTGACTCTATCACTGCCTAAAATAACCAAATGTTAAACATGAGAAACTTTTAATGATGTTTTAATTTTTTATTGGTTTAAAAATTATCAACTTGGAAAATTATGAATTATTTTTATATAACGAATAACATAATTTAAAATGAGAGAAAATATACTTGGGTGTATACAATGTGTGTGTTTATGTATAATGCACCATGTGACTGGCTGAAATTAAGAAGATGGCCTGTTAAGAGAAGAATGTTTTGTTATGAAATTTTTAATCTTTCTGTTGAAAATTGTTCCACTGAAGTTTGGTGAAAGCTGACATGAAAGCTTTTGTACCAGCATGGAAATACCATGGGAAACTGCAATATTCTCCTTGATTAACTACTACCTGTTCAACTGCTATAAACTCTTTTTCAGTTTCTTGCCTCCCTGCCACTTACAGCCTTCAAAAATTTAAGTGCAATGCCAATTGCTCTCTTCTGTCTTTCTAAAATCCCGTTCTTTTATTGTTCTTTCTCATCACTAAAGTCTTCTTATTCTCTTCTACTCCCATTAACACCTTGCACCTTAGTGACATCATTGCCTTGCTTGGGGTGAAATGATTTAAAAAATACTACATTCCAGAGCAACAGAGAAAATGAAATGGTGAATATTTTACTTTTAAAGTCATGAACAGAATAACACTTATGTGGGGGTAATCTCCACAGGTTCTTTACTGCAGATGGTACCATGTAAGTACTTATTACCAGCACCATGGTACTTGAAAAAGAGATGGATATATTATTAATAATTTAAACCTTAATATCTCCCTTAGCCCATTACCTTACTAACCAGTGAGAATTGCAATAAAGATTTGCTGCAGATCAATCGTTCCTCTGTTCATCATGGCACCTGGCAGATTCAAATGTTAACCATGTTTGACTTATTTCTCTAGATGTGTACAATAACATCATAACATAACAGGATCTATCTATTTATCTTATTTTGAGGAGGGAAAAACCTATGTATAAAGATATTTAATAGAATTGTAAACATTTCTCATGCAAATTAATTCTCTTTTTTCTAGTTTCTAATAAGTAAAACACAAAAGATCTTTGCCTATAAACATCTATTAATATAATTGACTAATTCTTAGAATTTTCATAGTGACTTTTCCATAATTAAATTTGTTAAGTAATAATGAAATTTTGCAAAATAGGAAATATAATTAAAAATTGTTATTTGTAATAAGAATTGCTAAATGTTATAAAATAATTTATAAACAGAAAAAGAAAACAACAAATTATGGATATCTAAAATATTTTAAGTGAAACCATTAGTCACTTAGAGAAACAAAACCTTAACTTATGTATACAGTTTAGAATTTAAAAATAAATACAAAGTTTTTGCTATATTTTGAAGTGATACATTAACAATGCTACCAAGTATATCATGAAAATTTTATTATATTTTATATTACTGAAATAACAAAGAATTTTATATCGATTAACATATTTTTAAGGGGAAAACAGTTTCTTTCTAAAATGGTACTTGAGTTATAATATTGAATACCCTCTTCAAAAATAGCAATAAAAGTAGATTTTTCTTTATTTTATTTACTTGTTCAATTATTAAGAGTATCATTAAAAATACAGCACAGGATAAAATGGATAAAATTTAATAGGGGTTAGGTCTCTACTTATGTTTATTGATGTTCTTTGACAATTATATTAATTCTTTTCATTATATAGCAGCAGAACAGAGACCACTTCAATTTATTTTAAAATAAAAGTGGATCATATCATTTTTGCATTGTTAAATGCTTACTAGATTCTCTAGATGAATTGTATTCCTGCTTAAGAGGTCACATTTAAGTAAGTATTATAAATTCTCAAATATTTGTTCATTTAAAAAGTTCACATGTAGCACACATGTCCAGATTTAAATTTGATATGAATATAAAACATTCTACAGAACGTCTGCAAGTATATACTTTAAAAATATTTGTCATTTTGTATAAATAGAATATATATATGTGTGTATAAACACATTTAGGTAAGATTGTAAAACTGTAATTGTAAAAGATGTTTAAAGATAATAGAATCATTTTATAAGAATCTTACTTGCTTTGAAATCAGAAAAAGCCTTTTGATAATGTTTTAAAGATATTCTCAACATGAAATTATTGCTACTCTAATCCAGCAGAGCTTATAATTACTATTGCTTCTGTACAGGATTAGGGTTAAAACAAAAACAGAAAATATATGAACAATATAGACAACAAATCACTTAAAAATTGCTAATAAATTGGTTGAAAGCACTAGAAGTAAATATGCCTCCCCATTTTTTTAAACAGGAGCAGAGGTTTATTCCTTCTTTCCTGTTTAGGATTGGATTTCCAGTTCTTTTCTTTCTCTTTTGCTTCCAGTGGCCCCTTGCATCTTTGTGGCATTATCACCTTGTTTGAGGTGATGCCTCTTACTCTGTAATCTTCTACCTTGAGTGACTCTCGAGCCTTGTACATCATTGTTAACAAAAAAATAAACACTATTTAGTCTCCATAAAAGAAAAACTGAAAGAACATTAGAAAAAATGAATAAAAACATAAAAACTTTTGTTTTTCTGTCACCTTCAATGAAACATGTACAAAAGAAAGATTGCTGCCCAAATATACAATATATATATATATTGGCCCACAAAAAGATATTGAATGATGGAAGACAACAACAAACAAAATAAAGACTTTAGTAAAGTAAATATACTGACAAGTACATTTTTGTTAGAAAAAATACATCCAAAAAAATAAGGTTAGTGAATTAGGCAAAAAATATTTCTGCATGTTCATGTAGAAGGTGAGAAGTTTGTTGTCCTGAAATGGACAGTTTTGTAATTGTTGAAGAGTGTCATCCTGAAAAGGACAGATTTTAGTTGTTGAAAAGTGTTGTCCTGAAAAGGAGAGTTTATCACATATCATTGTTGCTGTTAATGATGGCTGGCTGGAGCAGTGGCTGATGGTGAGGTGAAGATGTGGCTGATGATGATGATAATAACTGGCTGGCTGACTGGCTAGCTGGCTGGTGGGCTGGCTGGTTGGCAGGCTAGCTAGCTGGAACTGCTCATGGCTGCGCCATGGGTAGGGGCAATTGTTTGCTGCTTGAACAGATATTACACTTTAATCCTAGTCATCTTGGTTACAGAATGGAGCTTTGGTGCCTTTTTATATCCTGAATTTATTTTTACAACAATCACTGAGTATGGAAGGTTAAGCTTCTTCTGCTTTTTTTTTTTTTTTAAATGTGGAAGTGCTGACAGGATACAACAATGGTAAAAATATGCATTTTTTTTTTGGCAGCAGTAATCAGCTCTTTTTAAAGATATCAATAGATATATTCAAGTAATTGTTTTGGACTAGAGTCAGTTACATTATTGTTTTTGCTTGAGATTTTTATTTGATGTAAGTCTTTGTTAACTTTTGTAGAAGGTTTTGGACAATCCTCACTTTCATTTATTGCTTTTTTTTCTGAGATGATATTTTAATAGGAGTATCATTCAAAACATTCTGTGACTATTCATAACTCATTGTAGAATCTAAATCCCAAAAAAGATGAAATATATCAGAAAAGTTCATTTAATGTTTACAATGCCATATCAAACAAACACGCATCATACAAGACTCTTTATTCCTTGTCTGTCCACTGAAATATTTTCTATCTTTAATGTTGATGTTTAATATTCATTCAAACACCAAATCTATGAAAAGGAGCTGAGTGTTATACATATTTTAAAATAACTTACAAACTTGGAAAATCCAAAGTGACATCAAAAAACAAAATTTAAATTTTCAGCTGCAGATATACACTGAGTGTTGCCACTTTTGAGACACACACATATATATATATATATATATATATATATATATATATATATGAGAGGATTCCTGTTTTTACGGATATCCAGAAAAACTACTAAAGATTGTTTTTATCAATAAAGGGGACTAACAACTACTTATTACATTTGTTTGTTTAAATTTTTGTCCTAAATCTGTGGAAATAACTTGTCACATACTGCAAAATAGAGATAGCAATTTGGAGATAGATAAAAATATTTGAGTTAAAAAAAAACCAGAAAAATTTTTTGAGACCTGCTACAAGAGGTGATTAGATATTTTCTAGGTTTAGTCAAGTATGGTATAAAATTACATGATCAAATTTTTGACACTAGGAATGTCTAAGATTAACTTTCAATATTTTTTTGACAACAAACATCTAAAGTGGATATTTTAATCAGTCTGGACAAGGAGGTTTGTTTTCACCATCAGCAATCAAGAGCGCCAATAAAAGCACCATTTGAAGAAATAAAATAAAATAATATTGATACAATGAATCATGTTATTTGTTTTTATAACAGTAATATTCTATCTGAAAACATTCAACTTTATAACTGATAAGGCATGGATTTATGCTTGCTTGTTTTTTATATTGTAAAGTAGTAAAATTAAGTGTTGTGATCAACTAAAATGTCAATGAAAGGGATTTGATCATAGATGAATTTTGCTATATAAATTTACTTTATATATATATATATATATATATATATATATATATATATATATATATATATATGTATGTGTGTGTGTATAAAAGTGAACATTGAAGTCAACACTCAGAGGTGACAGACTGTTTCATGCTAGACGCAATTGTCAGGTCGCGAATGTTGGATTTTTCCTTAACTATTTATATACATGGGTCAGTGGTGCATTGTGGGTAATCTATTCTGGCATTTATTTTTGTGGGATTGGCTTGTTTGTTTATTTATTTATTTATTTGTCTAGGTTAATTTATTTTACTTGTTTTTCATTTTCATTTTGTATTATTTATTCTTTTCAGTTTTTGATGTTTTATTAACATAGTAAAAAAAGATTGTGGGGAGGATTAGCTTAAGTCACTTATTTAATAGTTTGTTTTGGTCTGGGAAGATAATTAAAGCTATTTATTCGTCCAATGTCTAGACTGCTGTAGTCTATTCTGTTATTTTGGAAGGGGACAGTTTTTAATACATTTATTTATTTGGATTGATTATTTTTACTTGTTTTTGCTTATTTATGCAATAGTTATTTTAGTGGGGGCAATTTGTTAATTTGTGCATTTATTTATTTATTTGGATTAATTTTTATTTGTTTTTTATTTATTTACTTATTTTTTATTTTGTATATTTTTATTTACTCTAGTTGGTTTTCCATTTTTGAGTAATGTAGTAATGTTTTTTATCATTATATAGCAGTTATAGCTATTTTTACATCCAATTTTTGGATTGGTTGTTGTAGTTTATTCTAACGGATATTTTGGCGGGATTGGTTTGCTAATATGTTTATTATTATTTACTTTATTTTTTATTTTTATTTATTCTATTTTGTCTATTCTAACGGTAGTGGTTTGTTAATTTGTTTATTATTTGAACCATATGATATTTCTTTTCCTGTTGGCCTTTCTTGTGCTCTGTGGTGAGTATGTGAGTGTTGCCAGGAATCCACTATCTTTTAGGGCTGTTTCGTAGTTCGCCTTAGCTTCATTACATATGGTTTATTGCAAAAATTGTCAGAAAGCCTGCAGTTAATCGATTTTGGTATCTGTTTGATTATTGAAGGTAGGGGATTGAAGGATGTATGCATGTACAGTGGTTTATCATTGGGTTTTCTGTATGGTTTATATGTGCTTTTTCTTAGGTTGAAGGTAACATCTAGAAAATCTACTTTGTTTAGGTTAGTTTTTATATCTATGTCAAATTTGTTATTTTTTAAAAAGTTCATATATATATATATATATATATATATATATATATATATATATATATATGAACTGATGATTGCATTTAACAGAAAAACAAACTGCGGGTGTTGACTTCAATGTCAACTTCTATATTTACATATGCTCTGTGTCCAATATTGAACACTTTAACCCATAAATATAGCATACCTTAAAACTATATTTTATATATATATATATATATATATATATATATATATATATATATATATATATATACATCCAATAAATCAATAGTTCAATGTAAATCTTATTTGAACAACTCTAGAGTTCCATATAATGCTGCTCATCAGGATCAAAGGTTCGATAAATCTATTGAATTACCAGGTATAATATTTACACTCCACAAACACTAATCATAAAGTTCAAATTTAAAATTTGAAATACATGCCACACTAAAGTCATTTAAAAATTTGACAACATTTAAATATTTAAAAGCAATTAAATGCTTGATATTTTTAAAAACATAACAAACTCATCAATGACCACATAATTCATAAAACAGAAGCATTAAATCATAGTAGAATTTAAACATACTGATTATTTATTTGTATATTTTGAATTACTTTGTTAAATATATTTACATTTTATTTTATTGTTTTATAATATTAATTCTCGGCAAATATCTGACCTATTTTTTATTAAAATTGTTACTATATTTGAATAATCTGTTGTAGAGATGGACACACCTCTTCAGAAGAGGGCTTGAACTTGTCCAAATATGTAAATACAGACACTGAGAATTGCCAGAAGGGTTAAAAAGTAGTGAGACATTTAGCTTATCTGCTTAGTAACTATTTCAGCAAGACTATGTTGACTCCAAGCAACATACTACTTCTTGATAGGGTTATCTTCATTCAAGGCAATGATGACATAATAGTGCCAATAAGAACTCAAATTCACATGAAAAAAGAAAATTTTTGTTTCTTCACACTTGGCATAAATGGCTGGTGAAATTCAAAATTCACAGAAGAAAATTTTGGTAGAGTTTGTGTATATTCATAGTGCAATAAACTTCAAGGTTGTATGATATACAGCTGCTAAAAAAACAACTTTTTCTTCCTAGTTAAGGACTACTGGTACAAACTAAATACACTATGGAAGAATTGAAGATAATTATTCAGCAACAGCAAGAATTCAAAAAGATATTATTACAACAACTGCAACGTGAATGGATTGAATATCAAGAGCAGATAAAGGCAATCCTGGGAAAGCAAGTAACATACAATGCAGCAATTTTGTTTTCACTGGACTTAGTTACTAACTCAGTGAATTTAATTATGTCCTTGAAGAAAACATTACATTCCTGTCATACTTCAGAAGGTATGAGGCCATTTTTAGAGAATAATGTCAAGGATGGTTGGATGAAAAGAAGGTATGTCTTCTGTTGTAAAAATTGGGCCTCAATGAGCATGAAAAATATCTAAATTTCATTTTGAAGAATACTCCATAAAAAGTGTCATTTCATGAAACAGTGTCAATAATATTAAAAATCTTTGGGGAAAAGAATTCATTGTTTTACATACATTGGCAGTGGATGAACCTAACTAAGGACAAATAGTGAAGATTCTGTCATATATGCCAATAAAGTAAAGCATGAGTGTGAGAAATTTTAATTGGATGCATTATCTCCAGACAGATTTAAATGTCTAATCTTTGTTAAACATCTAACATCAGGCAACAAGTTAAAAGAAAGACAGTAGTACCAAAAGAAAGAATTTGGAATAAAAATACAGAAAAAATTAACCCATGGTATAGCTGTAGTATGCTTCATTTCAGAAAGGACTATCCATTTAAAAACAAAATATGTTTTAAATGTGGAAAAACAGGTCATAAACAAAGCTACTGCAAGTTGAAAAGCAAAAGTAATACACAAATTAACTTACTGAAAGTAGTACTTCCTGCTAAAAAACTGGAAAGTTCAAATAATAGAAAATTTGTGACAGTACAAATGAATAACACTACAGTGAGATTTCAGTTGGACACTGAAAGTGATATTACAATTATTGATGAACAAACTTGAAACTGAATTGGCAAGCCTAACTTGAGAAAAAACTAACTAACTTGCAAGAGGAATATCGGGCAAAGAAATTAATTTTTCTTGGGAAAATCACATGTAACATCACTCTTGTGGATAAAACTAAAACTAAAAAAGCAGACGTTTATGTATTAAAAAATTCCAATTCAAATTTACTAGGCGTCAATTGGCTAGAATTATTTCAATTATATAATTGGCTGATTAATTAATTCTGTGGGAAAATTGATTGTTCATCAGAGAAAAAGATTACAGCTAAAGAAACACCGAGTAAACTGAAAAATAAATTCATGACTATTTTCTCAGAGGAGTTGGGAAAATCTACAAAGTCAAAGGCATTTTTTAAATTAAAAGAAAATGTGGTACTAGTGTTTAAGCCTAAAAGAAATATACCTTTTTCTGCGTTGGAGTCTATTAACACTGAACTGGATAGGTTAGAAAACCACAGAGTTATTGAAAAAAATAGATTACTCAGAATAGGCCACGTCAGCAATATATATTAGAAAGAAATATAATAAGATTTGTTCATGTGCAGATTTTTCAACCGAATATAATGACTGCCTCGTACTACATGCATATCCCCTACCAACACAAGAGGATATATTTGCCAAATTAAATGGTGGTAAATTCTTTCAAAAATCTACAAATTGAAGTGAATGAAGAATGCCAGAAATTTTTGACTATTAATATGCATAAAGGACTCCACAAATTTAAAAAATTACTGGAGTTGGCTGGACTACACAGGGTTGATGCATACATAAATGATATACTTATTAAGAGTGCTACAAAAATACAGAACATAAAACTGATTTAGGAAGTATTTCAGAGACTATAGGATTATGGTTTCAAAATCAGTGAGCAGAAATATCATTTCTTTCTGGACAACATTAAATATTTAGGTCAGATAATTGATGAAAATGAAGAAAACCAGATCCCACTTGAGCAAGTGCCATTAAAGACATGCCTCCCCCAACAAATTTGGTAACTCTACAATCATTTCTTGGATTAGCAAATTATTATAATATTTATGTATCAGAAGTATACAAATTGTGAGTACCTCTGAATAATTTACTTAAAAAGGGTACAAAATGGAATTGGTTGGCAGAATGTCAAAGAGTTTTAAAAGGAATTAAAAAATTACAAACTTCAGAGTTATCGCTGACACGTTACAACCTGAACTGAGAGATAATAGTAGCATTGGATGCAAGCAAATATGGCATATGAATTGTAATAGGCCAAAAATTTTAAGACAATACAGTGAAAGCAGTCGCTCACGTTTGAAGAATT